TCGTCGGCTAACCGAGAGACTGTTGTTCTCTGGTGTTAAACAGACATGTTATAATTGGAATAATTTTCACAGTGACGTTCTCTCCTGAATGACTGATTCTGTGCGTGCATGTCCACTAGTCCTTATAATGATAGGGGCGGTCGGGTAGCCTAGTGGTTAAAGCGTTCGCTCGTCACGCCGAAGACCCGGGTTCGAATCCCGACATGGGTACAATGTGTGAAGCCCATTTGTGGTGTCCCCCGCCGTGATATTGCTGGAATATTGCTAAAAGCGGCGTAAAACCATACTCACTCACTCACTCACTCACTTATAATGATAACATATAGCAAAACCCTTAAAATGGGCCAATTTCTACTAGTCCTTAGGATACCTTTACCATTGGGCAGTTTGGTAAGGACTACAGGATAAGTGCCAATTTCTGACGCTGGCACGGGTATGATGTTGACAAAACGAGGATCGTCATACAACATACCAAAATGATGCGACACCGATGTTCCTTGCATTTGTGCGTCAATTGTACGTCTGACAATTGAAATTCCAGCCAACTGGTGCCTAAAATGAAACAAACTAGAAATTGCTATTTGATGGCCATGTATACGGGTATCATAGTTGTTATGGACCTAAAGTTTGCCGTATTTCGGAGACTGTTTTCGGCTAAGTAACGTTTTGATCTTTTTGGTCAAATCCAATTTTCAAGTGATTACTTTCTTTTGCCTGGCATCTTATATCCTGGTCAGGCCAAGCCTTCGGGATATGACTGTTTGTGACCATTATCACTGCGGATGACATGCTTTTGTATACGTCATCGAGATAGTCAGTGATAAATGTACACAAATATGTCAGAAAGATCCATAGGTAGCTTAGGGGATTTGCCTGTTTGTAACCATTATTTGGGGGAATACATGCTCCTATATACGCCATCAGGGGAGGACATGATTAATAATACATATTATGGGCAGGAAGATCCTGGAAACGTAACGAAGGCAGGATTTGTCTGTGTCGCTTTAACCGTCATGACATATTGCTACACTAAACAAGGACCACCTGCTGCTGGCGTTTTTTGTCGCCGCGAAAATGCCATAAAATGAGATGACGTTTACATAAATAAAACATTTAATAAATTGCTGTGTCAAAAGAGGACATGAGTTAATGTTAATTTGATAGATCTAGGTTTCATTCATAACCATTATTCGGTGACCTCCATTAATTTAAAAGGTGTCGGAGTGAAAACGTCGCCTCCATATAACTAAACATCAAGATGACGACAATCTTAGTTCGTCATGAAATGGGATTGGTACCTAATGGGTAAAGATCATGATAGCAGTCACGCTGCTTTGGGAACACGGAAGTTCATGGGGTACAGTCAAAATATTTTGTTACCTGTCTATTCCCAAATTGAAAAAAATATGTTAACCCAGAAACCTGTACGTAAAAGAGCTTATTGTGAAACCAACCATCGACCAACAAATGGTATAAATTAATAACTGTATTACAAAAGGTTTACAAATCAACACAAATTACTGCATAACAATTACAATGACAGTACACAATTGATTGGCAGTACAATATACAATGGCAAAATACAATATGATGGCTGTGGTCAGTATCAAATTCAAAAATACAATGGTGATAGCAAAATTCAGTGATGATATATATTCACCCAGCGGAGACAGTGGTCAAGCTTCCGAGATTGGCTAGGCAGGGAATCAGGGATGATGAGTGATTCTCACATGAAAGCTGGTCTTGACGTGATGTAATGCGTGCGAGATACGTAAACTCGGTTTTGTCATCAGATTTTTACACAGTTCCCTCGCCAGTCTAGCGGCACCAGAACATCACATGATATTCAACCTAAGTCCACGATATACCGGAAGTTTACACTTCACACTAGTATCTAAATAGAGTACCTTCCTGACGACTGCTTACACTAAATAGTACTACATTCCTGGCGACAAATCACTGCCCAAATACAGTGCAATAAGTCTGCCGAATCTCAACAGAAACAAGGTAACGCAGTTACAATCATTGTTCAACAATAAAATAGTGCCATATGACAAACTATTTGTAACTCGAATTGTACTAGACAGGATCAACTTTGTCCTTGTCGGTTTGAACAATACTTTAGTTAGTTATAGAACGTGTCAGCTTTATGTTTGAGGAAAGCACAAAGTGACGCAGACCGATAAGAGGTAAGGGGCGGTACATTTCATATTCCTGGGAGGGGCTGGCAATTGATCTAAAATAAATTGACCCCGAAAATTCTTGAAAAAATATGCATGCTTCAAACTGTTAAAAATATTGCAGCTGACAAAATACCTAATCTCGATACAAAATCCCTCTCAGGAATATCAAATGGTCGGTCCCTTAGGTGCTGACAGACCAAAAGTCCCATAGCGTTTAGCATTTGGATAAGATCTACAGGCATTGGCTCAGTTCTGACCTCAATATGGCCACGAATCACAGACTAACGGTTGTCGCATCACAACATGAAACATGAAGACTCAACTCGTAATTCATGAAACTATCGTAAGTCTTAAGACTCCTAAATTCAAAGTGAACCATCTGTTTCATGAAACTCTCGTGGGTCTTAAGACTCCTAAATACAAAGTTAACCATCCGTTTCATAAAATACTCGTAAGCCGAGCGATCCGTTAATTCAAAGTTAACCATGACACTCTCGTAAGGCGAAGGACCCGTAACTTCGAAAACGATAATCTTACCCCCAAATTCTAAAATATTTAACAAGGTGACGATGTTTCTTGCCCCACTAAAACTAGTTCTCGTATGCGATAAGATTATTGCAGAGATCTTCAAAGAAACAACACACGCGAGACATGTGTAAAGCGATCGTAGTATCCTATGGTCAGTTATGTCTACGAGTTATGTTTACGAAAGGTGTCCTCTTTGGATAAAAGAAAAATATATAGGAAAGAAAGAAAGAAGCAAAGAAACATACATTTATTGTAATTTATCATTATATACTTAAGACTGATTAGGTCTAGGCTAAAAGCATGTACATACCCAGACACATTTTCACACGCATTATGAAGGTATACAAGTGAAAACACCCCAAAGCTTAAAACTCAGCGGATGTGTTACTTATTATTGACTGGTCGGGTCACGAGCTCAGGGTGCAATACATGAACGTCATTACACGCACGTCAACACATGAACGCCATATCAAGAACGTCAACACATGAACGTCATTACATGAACGTCAACACATGAACGTTAATTCTCGAACTTTAACACATAAACTTCAACACATGAACGTCAAAACATGAACGTCAATACATGAACGTCATTACATGAACGTCAAAACATGAACGTTAATTCTCGAACTTTAACACATAAACTTCAACAAATGAACGTCAAAACATGAACGTTAATTCTTGATGTTTAACACATAAATTTCAACACATGAACGTCAAAACATGAACGTCATTACAGGGATGCCAGTAGCTGAACATCGTCAATACTTTAACGTTAATAGCTGAACGTAAATAGTGTATCGTCAATATATTAACGCCATTACAAGAACGTCAATACATGAACGTCAACACATGAACGTCAATACATGAACGTCAGTACACGAACGTCAATGCATGAACGTCAATACACGAACGTCAATACTAGAACAACAATACTTGAACTTCAATACACGAACGTCAATACATGAACGTCAATACACGAACGTCAGTACTGGAACGCCGATACTTGAACGTCAATACACGAACGTCAATAATTTAAAGGAACTTCAATACAGGAACGTCAATACACGAACGTCAATGCATGAACGTCAATACACGAACGTCAATAGTAGAACAACAATACTTGAACTTCAATACACGAACGTCAATACATGAACGTCAATACACGAACGTCAGTACTGGAACGACGATACTTGAACGTCAATACATGAACGTCAATACTGGAACGTCAATACTTGAACTTCAATACACGAACGTCAATACATGAACGTCAATACATGAAGGTCAATACATGAACGTCAATACACGAACGTCAATACACGAACGTCAGTACTGGAACGCCGATACACGAACGTCAGTACTGGAACGCCGATACTTGAACGTCAATACATGAACGTCAATACATGAACGTTAACACATGAACGTCAATACATGAACGTCAGTACATGAACGTCAATGCATGAACGTCAATACACGAACGTCAATACTAGAACAACAATACTTGAACTTCAATACACGAACGTCAATACATGAACGTCAATACACGAACGTCAGTACTGGAACGCCGATACTTGAACGTCAATACATGAACGTCAATACTGGAACGTCAATACTTGAACGTCAATACATGAACGTTAGTACATAAACGCCAATGCATGAACGTCAATACTTGCACAGCAATTAACGAAGGGCAATACATGAACGTCAAAACAGGAACGCCAATACTTGAACGGCAATACGGGAAAGTCAATAGTTGAATGTCAATACTTGAGCGTCAATACTTGAACGTCAATAGTTAAACGTCAATACTTGAGCGTCATTACTGGAACGTCAATAGTTGAACGCCATAATTGAGCATCAATACTGGACCATCAGTATTTGAACGTCAACACAAGAAAGTTATTTATGGAGCGTCACTTTTTGAACGTCAATACTTGAACGTCACTATTTGAACGTCAATTCTTGAACGCCAATGCATGAAAGTCAAGACATGAACGGCAAGGCTTTAAGAACATACTCATGATTAGTTCATCTGGGAATGTGTTGATGGAATCATACGATTTCTACCGGATTTCACTGTAACCGATGAGAAGAGTTGCTACAGATAGTCGAGACTGACGTTACAATGACATTGACAAGTTTTCGTTTCGTGTTTAGATTATCAATATCAATAAAACCGGACGTACATTCGGTAGCTGGAATGAAGTGTGTCTTTGCGACCTGTTTACTTCAGCACTCTCATGAGAGACACTAACCGGATTCATTATGACAGTTGACGTGTAGAAACAACATCTCAGCTGTGGCGTCGTCATGCCCCCATAATGACATGTACATGGTAACATTAGTTTTACGGTCTGAGGTTAGGCAAGGGCGGACTCAGCCCAAACCAACATATGCGCTGAAGAAACCAACAGATGAAGTATCAGTAATCGGTAAGGATCTGTGGTCTGTGAGTGTCTGTGATCTGTGTTTACTGGTCTCGTACATCTGTGAATTGTGAAAGTACTGAAGGGTTTGTACCGGTCTAAAGTTGTTTTTACTGTCACAGTAGCTGTTGGGTGAGTACTGAACGTTTTACATGTAGGCAGTCATAGAAGGATGCCTGTTTTTGTCCTTTTTGAATAGATGACACATTTTTGGAAAGCAACTTCTTTTATTCTTTGTCATGACATTTCAGAGCTACTTCCTGCTCTTTGTGAATGCGGATAAAAGAACAAGAAGTAGGTCTAAAATGTCGTGACAAAGAATAAAAAAAGCTGTTGTCCATATAAAATGTCATGTATTCATGTTCTCCAAACTATGCCTATGAAAGTCTTCAAATTCTTTTTGTCCTGTCATAAAAAAACATGTCCTTCATCTTGTGTGCCTTAAGACGATGTTAGCACTATAAATCGGCATCAGTCCGGACTAGTACAAGCAGCCACACACACAAACACATGCATGCACGTCGCTATATAAGTGCAAAAATCTTGGACGCGACGTAAAACCCCATTTCACCTCACCTCACCTTCCATTTTAGTAAAGGTTATCAAACAATGAGACGGGAATAGTTTAACATTATTTAACATGACTTACAGTTTAACTATTTTTTATGCAGAATGTCTGCAGGGCAAAATATGTTTGGCAATACTTGTATATGTACCCAAAGCAATCTAAGTAAAGCTGTCGCCCTGATCAAACAACCTTTCAGCAAGAGTCGTTAGCTACATGTTGATACATAAACCTAACCGTGACCTCTGTATGTGACCTTAACCCGAGAACTAATAACGAGTATGATGACATAGAGTACGTGACAGATTGAGAAATTATTTAATTGGATATATGCACACAACGTAGACAGACGACAGACCAGGACAGCTTGACACTGTATTAAAAAGTTTTTCGTTCCCTCTCAAACCAATGAACATCTGTGATGAAAATATCCATTTAACTTCACTCTGTGTGAAGAACACACAATTTGTAAGGTTGAATTTGAATATGAAATTTTAAACATCAATGTACACTTAAATCGTCTGTGGGACAGGATACGCTCCCCTTTTCGCGAACACCGGGTATTATCACTATTTGGCAGTGATTCGTGAACACATGTTCATGATACAATGGACTCTTTGGAGCTTTCTTGTGATTATGGAAATATTTGTTGTCGTTTTTTGTTTATTCTAAATAAAAAAAAATGTGTTTGAACATAATGACAGTTATTTTTGTGTTTGAGTATATTAGTGTTTATCGATCACTGGATTGTCTGGTCCAGACCGCCGTCATATAGCTGGAACATTGCTGAGTGAGGCGTTAAACAACAAACAAACAAACAAACAAACTATCTCCTTTATAACCGCAAATCTATCTCATGTGCACGTAATAATACAAGACTTTCTTTAGTCTGGTAGATATACATGTATGTACAATATCAAACTATAAATGCTCATATAGTTTGGCTACATTCTAATTAAATGTCTTTTTTAAAATGCCTTTAAAAATGAGTATTGTAAAACAGTGTAGTCATGAAGATATTTCTGATAATGAAATGATACATCGCATTCTCAGAATACATAAAGAAATATTGAATTTGGTATCATTTGGCAGATCCATAAATTTCAATAAGTTACACAATGTAGCATACGGTGTACCTTCCGAATGAACAAAGTCTGTCTACAGTTTCTGTAATTAACCGAGTCTGGACCAGACAATCCAGTGATTGACATCATGAGCATCGATCTACGAAATTGAGATACGATGACATGCATCAACCAAGTGACCAACAAGCATGGGTTGCTGAAGACCAATTCTAACCCGGATCGTTAAGGGGTCTTGTATAGAGGCATTTCCTACATTTATCAGACGGGAGACCGAGTGCCGGATTAAGGAGGTTTAACTGTATACATGTTTGTCTGATGAAACCGAGAGTAGGACATGATCAACATATACCATCTCGGGGCACATTACACATGTGCAACTGTTTTTGTTTGTGTTTTGTTTGATGTGTGTGTTTTTTTTTTTTTTTTGGGGGGGGGGGGGGGGGGGGGTCTATTCTGGATTGGCACACACGCCATCCATTGTGGGGATTGTACCTGTGACGTTATTATCCAGGTTGCTGGGTTCACGCCAGAACTCCATGGTTCTAACAACCCTGTTGAGAGTGGCAACTCTCAGATTTATCACCTTGCCAGAGGCGCTGCTCCCAATACGTTGGGGGATTAGCATCAAGAACGTGTTACAGCCCTAATTTACTGTTATTGTAGGTATATTGAGATTAAAAAATAATGAAAATAACATTAAATATGTATCAAGAGATTGTCAAGCGTTCACCTACCGCTCTGTGTCGTCATGCATATCAACTTAATCAACTCTGGTTTTTTCCTGACATGATAGCTTTTTTAGGGGGGTGGGGGCGAGGGTCAAAACATTTAAGACCATTTAAATCTTAAATTACTTAATTGCTATGACTTCGCAGGTTCATGTCAGAAGAATATAAAACATCAACGCTTCAGAATAATCAGTCTGGATTGGGCGCAAACGATGCAGTGAAAAATATATAAATGGATCACTGATAATTAGTGATGACATCAGATGTTTGCGAAAAGGGTAAGCATGTCCTGCTCTACTGGCAGAACCCGCCTCAACTTCCTGACTTAAACCAGCTTCTTGACGTTGATATTCGGGTTAAAAGAGATTGCATAATTTTATTGTTATCATGTAACGCCCCATCTCGGATTCTAAACGTTAAGAACACAAACCAGAACCACAAATAATTCGAAAGTAATTTCTTCTCATGCATAAAGGTCAAGAAAAACTGAGATCGTTCTTATAAAAATACGTAAATGAAAGAGGAACACGATTCCGTTGATAAGCCAGAACTTATGTAAGTATGTATTTGACACTATTTACTTGACACTACAGTAAACTACGGTTATAACGAACACGGTTGTAACGAACTGACGGATAAAACGAACTTACATTTTTGGTCCCGACTATTTGCTGTAGTTATGCTGTATATATGCTTATAACGAACTACGGTTATAACGTACAAAAAATTAGTAGTTCCCATGGGTTCGTTATAACCGTAGTTTACTGTAATTCAAAGTACGACAAGGGATTTTACACGGTGACTAAATCCTGACACCTTTTTATATCAAAAGTATACACCATGTTTATGAGGCTGACGAGCATTATATAATCTGCCAGGCAAAAGAAACTACACACCCATGTCACGCTGTTTTCAGCCTTGAACGTCTTGAAACGTTTGCAATTTGTTGTCAAATCCATTTCCCAAGTGTATACTTTCTTTTGCTCGGCAGTGTATACCCTAAAGAGGAGTGAGTGAGTGAGGTTGGTTTTACGCCGCTTTAAAAATTATTCCTGTTATATCGCGGCGTGTCAGCCTTATGTGGGAGGCAAGCCCGAAGTGTAGCAGGTCTCAGACGTTTACCACTTCGGTGAAACCCACGAGCACGAGTATGGTGCTGACACACCTAGAAACATAATCGGGGCGAACCGGGATTCGAACCTTTTTTTAGAGAAAAACTGAATAACTTTGACTTTTTGAGGTGAGGGAGAGTGAAATGGGGTTTAACATCGCTTTCAAGATCATTGCACTTATATAGCAATGTGCATGCACGTGTGACGTTTTCAATGCGTGGATCGATGCTCATGATATTATAACTGGATTGTCTGGTCCAGACTCGATTATTTACAGACCGCCGTCATATAGCTGGAATATTGCTGAGTGCGGCGTTAAACAACAAACCAACCAACCAGCAATTTTTATGACATATTAGCATACCCATCAACACAAATCCCTATTGATAAAATGCCCTAGTTTCTGCTAATTTGTCAAAACCAAAACGGTTACTAACATACATGCAGCATCAACAAAACAATCGAAAACATGCTGCGTTTTCAATTTGGAGCTAGTTTATTTGTAGATTTAACACCGCTAATTTGAATTTGAAACCGAAAAATAATATGCGTCCCTACAATGACTGAAAAAGAAATAATTTTCTATTAACATTATCTTCCCAATGGTGTGGAAGTCAAATCGGCTTTTTCAGGCAGAGGTGGTTATTGTGATTTGAAACCTCTGATTGACCAATCAAAATGGAATATTTGATGGAGAGCCGCAATAACTCCCTTGTCAACAAGGAAACTGGCGTTTACCTTTGAAACTGGCGATAATTTGGACAGAACATGTCTGTGATTTACTCTTGTGGAATATAACGCTGTTTTTACTGTTCTTATGGTGATAAATATGCCCACGTTGATTCTAAATGTCACCTACAGTCCCCCTCACACATACCTAACGTAGTTAGGAATATAAGGTGGCCGTGCCAGTCAGCTCGTGTTGTACAAGTGTGGAGGTGTCCTATGAATGTGAACAACTGTCATTAAACTATACGAACACTGATCAATCCAATTCTGGCAGTAAAAAGATTTATCAATGCCAAAGGCAAAAGTAAATGTAACAATTTCTATTTTTTTCATTATTTAATTTTTCTTTTGGGCAACTTTTGGAAACTGTAAAAGTACCTACCGCAAATGTAATCGTCTTTTCTTGAAATAATAGCGACAAAACCATTTTGATTATCACCCGAAATCTCGCCCATTGTATGACTTCTACTTTATCTTAACCATGCATTTATGAATCACTGTGAAATGATGATGACACTATGTATTCGAGAAAATGAATAAGTTTTCGATCTGCTGATAACCCGACTCAATACGTGTTCGCCTTTAAAATACATTATGATTCTCAAATCTTTTGGCTTCAACATAATATATGTTGAAATGACTCGCAATTTTCATTTTCCAATATAAGCGAAAGTTCGAAAGAGAGCGAAAGTTTGATTTTCTCACCTAAAAACACCATGCAGCTAGCCTGGTTTGTCTGGAAAAGTGTTTCATTTGAAGTATAATAAGATTAAAAAGATTATCAATA